CGTGGGTTTGCCCCCCGGCCCTTCCCCTCCGCAGACCGCAGAGGTGTTTTTGTACTCGCTGGGTGCTGGATGTTTTTATTCAGAGCCTGCAAGAGAGGTGAGGGGAGCTGGGTGGGTGGGAAGCATGGTGGCCCCGGTGGGAACCCCTCTGGTGAGGGGCAGCGGTGCCGCGGGGGGAAGAGGCCAGCGACCCTTCCCAAAGGTGATCCCGGGATGCTCAGCCCATAACTGATGGGATGTGCGGTTCTAAATGCGGTGTCCCCTGGGGAATGGAGTCAGGACTGCTGAGCAGGGGCTCGCAGCCTGGTCCTCCTGGCTGCAAGCTGGCCTACAGCAAACTGGGGTCTTCAGCCATGGATGTTCCTCCGGGGAATCCTTAACCCGGTGTGTGGGAGCATCTGGATTTTGTGGGATGCCACAGCCACCCCTCCACCTCCCACCTCCCTTATCATCTCCAGCTTGGCTAGCAGGTGCTTTGTAACCCCTACCCTTAGACACCTGTAAGACCACCGAGATAAGGATTTTTAAGCCAGTGTTTCAGCTGCTTAGGTGGCAGACAGCTGTACACAAACTCTGTAATCTGCTAAAAATAAAAGCAAACCAAACTCGGCTGATCCACCATCAGCCCACTTGAAGGATGGTGTTCATTTAGAAAAAAATTCGTGCCCTCCTGTGAATTCCTGCCTGAATTTGTGGCAAGGTTTGTTTTTTCCCTTTTGTAATAATGAGGTTATTGCAGGGAAAACTTGTGAAGTGACTTTATGGTGTTAAAGCCCTTTTTCCATGCCTGCTGTGATACCATCCAAGTGGCACAGATCCCCCCGGTGATGACAGACTGTTGTGTTAGGGCTTGTTTGGGTATCCAGGCAAGTTGTCAAAGTGGGGCCGGGCCTGTATGTCAGGAATGTGCATTGAAGCCAGGTCCTGTAAACACTCACAAATGTGTGCAGCCTCGTTGCTAGGGCTTTGCACAGGAATAACACACGAGTGAGTCCCTCTTTGAAGTCCTGGTGTGCTACCTGAGTAGTTCGAAGCCAGGAGAACAGCAGAGGGAAGAGTTTCCATAGTTAGCAAGCTTCAGTAAATAAATTCACCTCTTTTTATGGCTCGTTCTGGAGCAGAGCCAAGTGGAACTATATTGTTTATGTGCGTAGATTCTTGTGTCTCACACAGAGATGCCTATTGTTTACACAGAAACTGTAAGGGGAATGTTTTGTTAACATTTGGTTAGCAATATAAACTGACAAACACAAATGCAGACTGGAACTTGAAACAAAAATAGCCTTTCTCAGAGCAGAAAAACACAGCTGCCCAAAAACTGTTTTTCAAGGAAAACTCTGCACCTATTGGTTCTATATTTTCTTTTTCAACTCAGCTTCTGTCATTTCCATGCCTGGAAATCTTCTACTGCATGTAGCTATCCCAGCAACTTAAGCTCCATGCCCATGCACCCTCTAAACTGTGCTTATTTTTCTAAAGAAGATTGATTCAATTGTGATATTTTATAATTACATTTGAAATTTGGTTTTAGTTGGGTGTGTCGCTGTTACATTCTCAAATTCCTGAGCTGACTGGGATAAATTCCCCTGTCCATTGTCAACATGTGTCTTTTCCATTAGTTCCAGTAGGACTGACTGCTGCCTTCTTACATTTGAGAAACTTTCAGTGGCTTAAAATAGTAGGACCAAAAAAACCCCTGTTTTTTCAATATTTTATTGAAAAAAACCCCAAAAAATCCACAGCCTACATAAAGGGTGGTTACAGAGCCTGTGGGGTCCTGCTTTCCATGATGAAGTATATTGACTTAGTGGATGTAGAATGTAAATTTTCAGTCATGATAATGCATAAAATCTCATTTGCACTGTTTGCAGCTTCATTCCCCAATGATCAGCATCTACCAACATTCAAGTGACTGATACTGTTTAAATAAATGAGGTGAATTGTTCTCAGAAGGGCTCAGAAATGTTTGGTATTGTGGCAAAAAGGGATCACAGTAGTTTGAGGTTTCTGTGGCAGCCAAATGTTTAATTTTTAATGTCTCACCAGTGATGGCAATGGGTGTTCATCAGATTGTACAGCTCCAGTGGAAGAAAGTCAGAATTTCTGTCCTTGCACATCTCCTAATGCACACAATCTATTTTATGGAGTTATTATTAATGACATTGGCACTGCTTTTTTTTGTGCTGTTTTTTTCACCCTATTTCTTAGCTTGAGTATTTCTGCCTGTCACTCATAGATTCTTGCTTTCATGATTAGTAGCACTGAATTATATTTGAATATCACAGTTATCACCTTACATTCATTGTTTCTACATTGCCTGATCCTCTGTAAATGAGCATTCAAACCTATTTTGTTTGATGGGTTGTTGTAAATGTCTACAAGTATCTTTTTTTTCCTTCTTTCAGCTTTTTCCATTGGCACCATGAAGAATATATCCTAATTCTGCTACAACTCACAAATATTGTGTTTGATTTTTTTTTTAATTTATAAGTTTTAGAAAGCAGAAAGTGAACTGCTTATTTTAGTTTACACTGATATCATATCCTGCAGCTAGGCTGTGTAGGGAGGATGGTAACAGTGCTGGTGTGGAAAACAATTTGTAATACTTTGACTTATTTATGTTGAAAAAGCTTTATTGCATGTAATACTTTCACATATTTATGTAGAAAAAGCTTTATTGCATAAAGTTATTTTCTTTTTTTACAGAGACCTCTGTGTGCCTGAGTCCCTGCATTGTGTGGCTGCTCACTGGAATCACAGATTCAATACACAGAGATCCTTAACAGGATTTGGAATTGGAGGTCTGTGCCAAAGTGGGATTGCAATCAGATTGAGTGGGAAGAATGTCAGTTTTAGGAAGGTATTCTGATGGGAAGATGGGTAGGTTTTGTCATCTCCCAAGAACAGGTTATATATTTTTATTTGCACCCTTCAGATGGAAGAATGTGTTCACATTTTAAGGTAGAGGTTTGCTTATTGTATTCTGAGAATTCTAACAGCAACATGTCAGAATTCCACTGTAGCTTGGTAAATAAAAGAAGACACAAGAATTCCCTGGGTTCTGAGTTCCACAGTCAGTAATGTGTCCATGTTTTCCTTCCTGTTCTCCTGCAGGAAAGATGATCCCCAGCCAGCCCTGCTGAGCCACAGGATGGGGCCAGATGTCCCCCTGCTCAATGACTACAAGCAGGAGTTCTTCCTGAAGCGCTTCCCTCAGACCCTGCTGGGAGGCCCCAGGTTCAAATTAGGCTACTGTGCCCCTCCCTACATCTATGTGAACCAGATCATCCTTTTCCTGACCCCATGGCTCTGGGGAGGAGTGGGGACACTGCTGTACCAGCTGGGGGTGATGCAGGACTTGTGCACAGCAGCCCTGTCAGGAGGACTCATGTTTGTTACTGCTCTTGCTCTTCAGATGACAAACCTCTATGCAAAGCAGAAAACAGTGACTGTAGAAAGAATGCAAATTCAGAGTACCCTGACAGATGAAGATGAGTTTGAATTTTCCAGCTGTGTAGGTTCAGAGACAGTAAAATTTATTATTCCTGGCAAGAAGTACATAATCAACACTGTATTGCATTCCCTTCTGGCAGGGGTGTTGTGTGGGCTGGGAACTTGGTATTTGCTGCCAAACAGAATAACCTTGTTATACAGCAACATTGGAGGAACTGTTGTGATCTTTGTGTTTGGATGGGTGACCATATGTATAGGAGAGTATTCATTAATCATAAACACAGCCACTGAAACAGCCACTTTCCAAGCACTGGATACTTATGAAATCACTGCTCTGATGAGACCTTTCTACATTTTTGTCTTTATTGCAGTGGATCTTGCATGCAGGTAAATGTAATAATGGATTTAACCACTTTAAGTGATGGTTATTCTGTGTATTTTTGATGGGAAAGGTTAAATTATTTTTCCAGGGAAAATTTATTTTGAGATTCTAATCAACTGTAGGAACTTCAAAGGAAGAGGATTGATGCACATATGATAAAATTTGATGTTCTGTGCTGTCTATAAAAGGTTCTTACATTTTTATAGCATCTCATGTAAACTAGGAAGAGCAGTTTGTAAGAGATAGGTTAAAACTTATTTTCTACCATGTCATTTTTCATATTTTTGTATTGGAGCATTTGCAAATACGTCCTTTTAAAGGATGTGCTTTGAAAACACATGTTCCTGACCTGGAATCATAAATCTAAACACTGCAAGCTTCAGGATTACTGGATTTATGTCCAGATTTCATCCTGGAATACTTTCTAATTTAGGCTCTGTAAAGTGATAGCACAGGCTTTTATACAACAGGCAAAAAAAAAAAAAAACCCAAAACCCTTGAATTTTGTTTTGATGAATGGATATGCAAATGGGAATATTGCTGTGGCTTTGTGATGCAGATTTGGAACTTGGATTTTTAAATGCTTTTCCAATACCAAAGAGCTTTGTCAGTCTACAAATTAGGAGAGTCACATTTCTGTTTTTCAGATGAGTGTCTCAGCTGAATTATTTGTAGTATCAGGGTCCTAAAACAAGATGCTTTTAGATTTACTCTCTGCATTCTTTCTCCCTGTCAGGTGATATTTATAGCACTTTATCACATGTAATATTTTATGGATGGGTAACTTCAGATACATTTAAAAAAGCATGTTTGAATTTGCTGGTTTTGCACTGGGAGATGTCCTTGTTAATGATTTACCCTAAGTGCCACCTCAGGTGAGGTATGAGAATTCCACATGTGGTCTTGGACTCCAAATCCTTCTATTCCATTTCCTGAGGAGAAGATTAAGACATTGTCAACATTCCTGATAAAATTCCTCTGAGGCTTGCTTACTTATTAAAATGGAGAGGGAAACCAAATATCTTGGCAGTCTACCACCTTTAATTGGTGAACTACATCTAGGTTAGAATTTATGCAGATTTCTAATGCTGATCTTTGTGTTTTTGCAAGATGTTGACATTTTTATGTAGAAATATATTCCCTCTTTAGGAATATACAGTATTATCTGGAGGTGTACAGGCAACATGCCAGTTCTAGTGTTAAAGCTTAGATCTTGGGCCTTGAAATTGCATAAAATTCTGCTTTTGTGTCTCTGAAAAAACACTTTACAATTTTTTGTTAAACAGTTGAGGCCTTGGAGCCTGTAGATGTTTATTTTTTGCACAAGTATTTTTTCAGTGTATTATCACAGCAGTAGCAAAAATAATTGGGATAATTGCATCACTGTATTCATCTGAAGGCTTCAAAACTTTTAAATGAAAATTTAGTCTGTAAATGAAAATTTAGTGTTCTGGTGTTCTAATTAATGTGTTACTGTCCCAAGCATAAATATATTTGCTTATTTTTCCTTTTTAAAGATACTCATTAGGTTTTATAGGTTGAATGTGTAAGGTTTTTACTTTGGGATTTGCTGTAGCAATTTAACAGGAAGTCTTCCCACACAGAAGTTATTTTTCCTTTCACAGAATTCAAATGCATTTCTTCTTTTATCCAGGTTTGCTGTCAACGCACCCATTCTAGAGCAGACAAACCAGATTTTGCACATCCTGTTTCTTTTTCTGCCATTCTTGTGGGCAATGGGAATTCTGCCCCCACTTGATGCACTTTTTCTCTGGGGAATGGAACAACTGTTGGAGTTTGGACTAGGAGGTTCACCAATGTCAAGTAACACCAAGTAAATGTTTCTACAATTGTAAAATATATCAGTGTTGTTTATAACCTTTTTCTTTTCAAGCAAATCTTCTTTATTTTCTCCTTCACAGGTTGTTAGTAATGTTTCTCATTTCTGCTGGAACAGCAATAGCATCGTATTTCATTCCCAGCCCCCTCGGTGTGATCCTCTTCATGACTGGATTTGGGTTCATACTGAGTCTTAACCTAAGTGAGATTGGGTTTGCCTTCAAACACACCATGATCAGCCATTTAGCCTCCAGCAAAGCTAAAAATGCTCACAGAGGTCTTAGATTACAATTTGGGTGGAGGGAATTTATTTTCTATGTGACTGTGTTGGCGTTTGCTCTCACAGAAGCAGGCCTGCTGCATCAATTTGCAGGCTCCTCATCATCTTCCCAAGGCAGACCCCAGGCCATAGCAAGTTACATTCTGATCCTATTACTTGTAATGATGTGGATTCTTAGAGAGATTCAGAGAGTTTACTTGTTTGGAGTCTTCAGAAACCCCTTTTACCCAAAGGATGTCAGGACTGTGGCTGTGTTCATGGAGAAGCAAAGAAGGCTAATGAAAGTTGGTGTTGTCAGGAGGATTTTACTAACACTAGGTAGGAATACACCACTGTCTGTTGTTTGTTAGATGATGCTTGTAGGGAGATTGAAACTCTAGAATTGCTCTATGTGCAAGATTCTGTGAATGAACCAAGGGCAACCAAGTGGCTGGAAATACTTGTTGATGTCTTGTTAAATTGTCTATTGAGGTCAAAGTTACTGGTCCAGCATATTTGAAAGGGATTAAATTTGGAAGTGATTTATTTCTTTTATAGGGGTGAACCTAAAAAATTGAGCCTTTTAAAAGCCCAGCTGAGAAAGCAGGGCCTTTTAAAGGATTTTAGTTACAACTGCAGTACCATCTTTTGAAAAGATGTACTTGGAAACAAAATGAGTTGAAAGTCTTCAAGCTGACTAAATATTTGGTTCTTAGAGCTTGCTGGTAAAGGGAAGAGCCTCCTTTCTCTGGTAGGTTAGAGACAAATGCATCTACTTTGAGGGAATAAAAATTGATTTAAATTATTTAATTTCATACAGAAGTATTAGTTTGGGAAAGTAGATTGATGACTGCTATTCCATGTTTATTTGTACTTATTTGGAGAAACAAATAAAGGACAAAAGAACTAATAGCAAGTAAGAGCTAAGCATGGATGTAAATGTTTGTTGTCCAAGGCCATTAGGGCAAACAAATTGTTCAATATTTTTGGAGTGTAATACAAAGAGGAGTTTGTGTTGATGAGGGGAAGGTTTCTCTTTTTCTGCTGGGATTTCCATTCTGCAATAAGACTGCTTACCTCTGTTTGCTTTTTTTTACATTTTTGGAAGGTCAGTGATGCTTTTGTTTCAATTGCAGTGTCTCCGTTTGCTATGATAGCATTCCTGTCACTTGACCGTTCCCTACAAAACCTGCATTCCGTGTCTGTTTCCATTGGATTCACAAGGATGTTCAGGATGGTAATTTGAATTTTAAATATGTTAGCCTTAGAAATGCTCTTCTACATGACTTGAGAACCAAGGTGACCTGGAAGAAATATCCCAGGTCATGAAAGCAGAGATAAATAGATGTGGTTTTTAATGTATTTCTAACATATCTCTATTTTAGGTCTGGCAAAATACAGAAAATGCCTTACTAGACATGGTGGTTGTGTCAGCAGCACAAATGTTGGTGGTTAATCCAGACCTCTGGTGGAACA